AAATAAAAAACTTTGAACAATTCCGGGAAAAACTAACAGTTGGAACCGGTTCCAATCGATGCTCGATGTCCAACCCTACTCAAGACCCTGCTGCTTCAGTACCTATAGTGCAGCTTTGAATCTCATTCCTAAGCAGTTTCAGTCCATGGCCCCACCTACCTGCATCTAATCAATGCAACGAATCCCTCTCAATAGAGGCTAACGTCTCATCAGGGGATGGAGAGGGGGGTACCCAGAGTAGTTTCTGCTCGGTAAATAATAATAGACAGCTACAGCTTTTAAGCTTGACTCTCCCATATTCCAGTCAGAATTGACAAAGCTCCTCTGATGAGATGCACATCTTGGAGAAACCAAAGAGGTCCAGTTGCCTTCATTTGAACCCTTTGAATTACCATGACCTGGATGACTGAGAAACTTCACCAGCACTCGTCCTAAAAGGAAGTGTGTATCTACGACTGAAAATAAATATCATCTGGAAGCCAACATATTCTACCACTGAAAGAGGCCACACGTCTCAGACGATCATGTTCAATATCCTGTCCGTCAGCTCAGCAGCTCAGGTGAACATGGAGCCACACTTCTGTTAAATATGTCCCAACCAGACTGTGGTCTGCTGCTAAAGATATGAACTAAAATAACTACATTATGAGGCTGAAATCTCAGACTCTTGCTATAAAAGACTCATTAATACATATTAAATTGTTTATGCCTAGTTACTTCTTTCCCATCTGACGTGGCTGTTTTTGGCATTTATTTATAATTGATTATGATTTTACACGCCACATCGTGATGCATCGATTTAATGGTTAATCGGCACACCACTACCCAAGTCTGTTTGGGCATTTGTGCTTCTGCATTGTGTTGGGGTTATTAGGAGCGAATAATTTTGGATTCTTCAATAAATTCTGTAAATATGGGAATATTTACCGATGTATTAATTAATTAAGATACTTTTTAGGTATCTACGGGGCACCACCCATTCTAATAAGAAAGGGAAATGAATCTAAAACTCTTATCAGTCTTTCTTGAAGTCGTGGGGTCCAGGAGCAAAGATTTTACATAGACACAAAGAAGTTTACTGGAGACAAATCTGAATTTTATAACATTTAATTAAACAAGGAGATTAATAATGCAAAACAATTTTATATAATTGAAGATGTGTGTGTATCAAATCAGACTGTGTGTGCGAAAGGGAGGGTGTATGAATGGGTGCTTTGTTTTCCCGGAGCAGGTGTGCAGGGAGTGTCCTTGATCTGTGTGTGTATGAGCTGTCTATCTCCAGCTCTAATACACAGGAAAAGTTTTTTAGCTTAAACTCAGTTTCACAGTAACTTGAACACTTCAGAAAGATTGATAAACAACAAAGGTCACTCGTAAATTAACATCTGACAGTTTAAACAGCCTGGCCACAGCTGAAAACTATATAAAGATATTAACGATGACAAATAAACAGTTTACTCTTTACCAAATAACCCAGTGAGCGGATTTTGATATGGAAAAGAGAAAAACCGTCTGATAATTTGAAGCAATGCGCGGTGTAATTGCTTATTGTGAACTATAAGAAACGGAAAAGATAAGAGTAAAAATGAAATAAAACCTGCAGGAGCAAACAGCTGTTCTGAAGCAACGCAAGGCGTCCCTTGTGTTCGCTGATCAGATGTGATTTTACGCTGCTCCTCTGCAGTTCTGCTTCGTCCTCTTCACGAGTGTCTCTCAGCTGGCTGGACACAAGAGAGCAAAGTTTCTTTTGTGCTGAGTTTGATAACTTACAGCTTGAGCTGGATGGAGCTCGGCTCATTTCCAGCCAGGTTCTGATGGTTTCGGAGTTGCTTTTCCAGCGGCTCGGTGTTCGCACTCTTCAGCCTACAGGCCTCGTGCGTGCTTGAGTTAAATGGAGCTGGAGCAAGAACGTGTCCTTTACAGCCAGTGATACTGAGCAAAAGAACAAATAAGTTTTGTTTTCGTCTCCCTTTTATAGTCTAGCAGTTCGCGGGCTGAGACTGCAGTGAACCCGTGCTCCGCCTTGGCGGTGACGTCATCACATTGCTTCCGTGTGCAAAGCATCATGGCAAATGAAGTGTCTTGGCGCTGATGTGATTATTTGCTTTTTCAGAGCAATTTAGCACAGTTTTTTTGGAGAAAATCACTGGACAGTAATTTCCTCATGAGGTCAGACCCTCAACAATTGTAAGCTTGTTCTTCTGCTGGAAGACCACAACACTGTCTCAAACAATATCAGGACATAATGAGTAAGAGGTACTAGGCAAAATTCATATTTACTTCAATTTTGAGAACATAACTGAACCCTGGGACGTAATTTTGGGGGGGGACGGGTGGGACATGTCCCCCCCACTTTTTCAAAAGGCAGTTTCGGTCCCCTTCACTTTTTTCCGTCCAAAAACAATGTTACGCTCCATTAAATGGATTTGATTGAGCACTAGGACCGAAACGGAAACCGGTTTCCTATTAGACCCACCCAAAAGCTAATCTATTGGCTCTGCTGATACTTGCTAACGTATTATTGGCTGTTGCTGCTGTCACTCAAGTTGTAAACAGTCAGAACGTGCTCACGTTGTTTTGCTAGTTTGGAGCCGCTAGGGAACACCGGTACTGAGTCACATCGTCAACTAGACGCTGTGTAATATCAGAGCTCAGCTCAGCTTCCATTATATAACATTTGAATAAGTGTTCATTTGTGAGTGTTTGGTAGTTATGCACAGCCAGGCGGCAGCATGTCAAGAAACGAAAGTGGATATAAGAGACTCCTTTCAAAGTCAAAACGTAAGTTGGAACATGTGACAGACCTGCATTAAGCTCAGACTCACCTCCTCCTTCACAAACATACTCAAAACTAACTTTTACAAACTAATCTCCTCCACATAACTGACTCCTCAGACACAATTTATTCGTATTATTATAATTATTATGTTTTATTATTACTATTATCATCATAATTATTATTACTAGTAGTAGTAGTAGTAGAAGTGTAACTTCAAAACTTTTATCATTTAACTTTATTGTAAACTTATCTATTGCAATGCATATTTTCACATTAAAAAGCTCTGAAAAATGAACAGTATCATCATCGTCAACAGATTTTTTTAAGCTTAATGTCAAAGATGTACACTTTTCATTAGATTTATCTTATTTTTTCCATTTATTTTTTGTGTGTTGAAATGCAACAACTGTTTAAACACGTTTAAGGGAAAAAACATATTTAATATGTTTTTATACACTCAAAATGGTAATGAATAATTTACACATTATATTAATAATAATTGTGAATCATACTAGAACCATCCTGTAAATATTTCTGTTTGTTCCATTCCAAAATCTCCCACTGTTTATAGTTCATGCATCTTTTTTTCAGGTGACTGACAGAGATGCAGGAGGAGAGACCGGTGAAGGTACAGCAGGAGAGGCTGTAGGAGATGGAGGACGAGAGCCTGGAGGAGATGGAGCAGAGGCTGGAGGCTCACAGGTGAGGTTGAAATAATGAAGATACGATAGACATAAAATTGATCATTGTGACAAATGTTAGGGTGATGATCATGTGTAAAACATTAGTTCAGCATGTCCTCTAACACAGCAAATGAAATAACGGCCAGATCTCAGGAGGGACCGTTTATGTATAAATACTTTTTATACTTTTGACTAGGCCTGGGAAAGTAACAAATTTTGCTGGATGATATTTTGTCCAAAAAAATTGTTGATGATAAACAATATCATTGTCAACATTATCTAGACCAAAATAACCACTAATATAATGTTAATATGTCATAATAATGCAAGTACACCCTTTAAAATGCAACAAATAAACCTTCATTTAACATTGAAATGTCCAGAACCAGAACTTCTAAATGAATAAAAATAACAAACAAAAATTAAATAAAAAAAAGAATCTCACTCCCTGTTAGAAAATGTTGCACCAAAAACAATAAAAAAAGACCCAAAACAATAAATACAATGGCCTATCCATTGTCAACAGCCAAAACTGCACTTCAATAATGATAATAAATATTAATGATAATAGAGTTGTACATTTTTTAACTTTGATATAAATATATATATATATATATATATATATATATATATATATATATATATATATATATTGAGGATGGAAAAATTATTGAGATGGGCATGTGACGTGTCAAAGGGTCTTTACATAACACCCCCACCCCAAATCCGCACAAGCCTGGTGTGTCCCCCCCACTTCTGAAATCAAAATTTCGTCCCTGACTGAACCAAACGAAGACAAGACAATTCTTAGAAAAAATCTCAACATTCAGATTGTACTTACTGTTCCTTGGCAGTTTTAGTTCGTCCCTCCACATAGGCCCTTGCAGCTTCATCGACAATTGTGCTTTTTTTGGTCCATGGTTAGTAGGATATCCGAGCACCCAAGCAAGCTTAAAGCTCCAGAGGCCTCCATGACTGCTTCCTGACTATCAGTCAGTGTTTCTGCATCCAAGATCTAGGTATCAAAGAGAGAATAATAAAAAGACACTCAGTTTATGAGAAAAGTAGGGCTGGACAACAATTCAATAATGATATGTATCTTTTGATAAACATGTAGTGCGATAGAAAAAATGGGTCAGTAAAATTACAATAAAAAGTTTCCTTGTACACTGTAAAAACTCATCTATAGAATTTACCCAATAAATCTGAGGTAACAATTTGCATAGCCTTTTTTGTAGTAGATTTATTTCAATATATTGTGTTTAAAATAGCTTCAATAAAAAGATATGAAATACTTAATTAAATTGGGTAAAATTTACCCAATATTTATGTATACATTCAACAGCTACTTACTCATTGAAATTGGGTAAAATTATCTCTTGTTTGCTAGTTGGTAATACCTGATAATTACTTATAAAATTTAATTATTATCAGTTGATAAACATTACCTATTCATATAAGGTAAAATGTACCCCCCCAAAAAAGATATTGAAATGGTTCATCAGCTCAATGTTTTTATTCCCTAAAAACACAGAATAAAGTGCAACACAACAGATATTGCAGACAACACTTTCCAAGGCAACTTAGTCCATTTTAAAAGCCAAAAGCACAGAAACTCTACAAGGTTGTTTCTGTGCATGTACGTTATCAAACATATGTAGATAGAACAGAACACTAACGCCAACATTCAATAGTTTGTGTGCTGTCAGAAGAAAAATTACAGCTTCATCAAGCTACGTCTGGACAAAAGATCCTCTGGGAACAAGAGGGGAAATGTGTGTGCATTGCATAAGCTTATTTTTGAGGCTGTGGACCTTGTTCAGTAGTTCCGCCCCGTCGAGTTGCAAAAACAGTTTTTGAAAAGTGTCAAATGTGTTCTTCAGCTCCTTCGGATATTCGAGGTTGAGGGCATATATCAGTCCCATCAGCAGTACACATGCCTTTGTTCGGCTTCCACATCCCTCCATCACTTGGTTTCCCTCAATCACAATGAACACATCTGATGGATCCTCCTCAGCCATGATGTTGTGGATCACGATCACTTTCATCATATCATCTGTGTAATCCTCACATTCCTACGTGTTAAAAAGAAATAAATAAAAAGCATACACATGTTTTATTTTATTTAAGATGCTTTTTCAATTTATTTCAGTTCATCTAAAAAAGGAAGCGGACAGAAGATGAATGGAGAAGGGGAGAACAGGGGATAGGAGAGGACAGGAGAGAAGAACGTTAGGATCCCTTGATTTAATAAGTAATCTGTTATCAATATGACATACCTGGCAGTCATGAAAAAGATCTTCTCGTCTTTCCCCGAGGTAGCTAATGAGGCAGCAGATAACAACATCCCTTTTCTTCTCAATGCTCTGTGTCTGTAGGGAGATACAATTTAGTGAAAAGACTAAGTTGAGTGATTTACATACATTAAGACTGAATTACTTAAAAACAAAAACATGGCTGATGCCTCTCCAGCTTTCAACAGGTGAGAGGCTGGGTACACCCTGGACAGTCAATCACAAGGAAACATAGAGACAGACAGGATAAACAACCATGCACGCACACACTCAAACCTAAGGACAATTTAGAGAGACAAATTAACCTAACAGTCATGTTTTCTGACTGGGAGGAAGCCGGAGTACCCAGGGGGAACCCACACGTGCACAGGGAGAACATGCTAACTCCATGCATAAAGACCCTGGGCCAGGATTTGAACCCAGGACTAGGGCTGATTGATTATGGCAAAAATAATAATCACGATTATAGTGACTGAAATTGAGATCACGATTATTTAGGATGATTTTTCTGTTTATGTTGATTTTATTTGTTTTTATTCAGTCATAAAATTGCTCAGGGCACAATCAGGACAAAAATAAGAAACAAGATGATCACTAAAATAACTCCTGATTCCCAGTATAAAAAGACCAATATACTTATAGCTCATAGTCTATGACCCAAGGGCTATAGACCTTGGTTTAACTCATTTAAGTCTAACCAGTACAGACCCAAATACCAATATCTTGCAAATACTGACAGCAAGAATTATACAGTAGCATTTATAACAAATAAATGCAAATAAATTGATGTTCGCAAAATGTTGCATAACATTTATTGAGTCGTGTCAAGGTGCTGTAGGAGCGTGCACTAGCACCGTGTCCTCAGAGAGATTAGTTATTATTTATCAGCGTGAGGAACTTATTTCTACCTTATTTATAAACTATTTATTTACAAGTCCATCAGTTAATGTAATAACTGTCCCAACCACAGCTGCACCCCCCACCCCCCAACCTGGTCTCACAGCAATCGGGGCAAGCTGCACGTGTGTTTAGCGTGCCGCACGCGCACATTTAGCTGTTTTTAGTGGCTCAGGAGTCCGCAGGTACGGAGTGTGTGTCACTCACTCTGGTTGCTCCAACAGGGAGCCGGCTCTGAGAGCCGTTTCTTTAGCGACTGACACGTCACTACATCATTCCCTTTCTTATAATGTCCTGAAGAACCGTCCGGAGCGCAGGCGGAGCGTTTAGCTAACCTGCAGGAAATGTCGACGACAGTTATCCAGCAAATAATCGGCTTGTTTTGTTTTTTATGATCGTTCAAAACTCAGATCGTAATCGTGATTAAAATTCGATTAATTGAGCAGCCCAACCCAGGACCTTCTTGCTACCCACTGCAGCCCTCCATAATTACTTATTTGTAAAAAAATAAAATAAAAAAGTAAATTAACATACGTCATTCAAAGTGTCCAGTAGAGGTCTCATCTTGGAACCAGCAGCTCCCCCTTTGGCACGCATAAGCTGCAAAAGACCTGGTGTGTACTCATCAAGTTTCAGCATGAATGTCTCCACCAAAGAAACTGTGGTGATGCGTCTGAACTCTTCGATGATCTAAGAAGTAAGGGGACAAAAAAAAAAAAAGACATTTCAAATGACAGACCAGATCTCGTAGTTATAACATGAATGTTTTTTGGTGGGAAGGAAACGTTATCACACATACTCACCTGAGCCTCAGTGAATAATGCAGGCCACCTTTCTTTTAATTCACCCACAGAGGGGCAGATGCTGACCACTTCAAGTCTTCTGCTAGAGAATGTTTTATTCATTTTATCAGCAATTATCTTTGCGTTGTTTTTCTTTGTTATTTCATAAATCATTTCAAGCCTCTCTTTCTCCAGTGTCTCTGGTGTTTCTCCAGTAGGATGCGGAGGGAGATAATTAACCTCTGCTTTTTTTGGCTTTTTTACATTCTTTGATGGCACTGCATTAGCTGGATGTTTCCTTTTTAAGGCATTAATTTCAATTTCTGGGTAAGAAAATTTTCGAGATCTTAGCTTGGCACGGTAATTGTGCATCTTGTTTTTTATGCGCTGCTGCCAGCCATATAAGCCGGCAAATGATCCTGGCTCCTTAAGACACGGAAACTTTGAAACCAACGCTTCAGCCACTGAGAGGATCTGCTGATTGGTTGGGTAAGCAGTGTACGAAAAAATTACTTTTGCAAGGTCTTGCATTATTGCTGATTTAACACTGGCATCCATGAAAGGTCTTCCAGTGTTGCGATATGAGTTGTTTGCCTCAGTGAGGATTAGTTGTATGTCTCGGGAAAACTCTGGTACTTGAAATGGCACTGGCCATGCAACAGAGCGACATGAATCAGGGAGAATGATGGTGTCACTGGAACTTGAGGATGCGCAGTCGGACACCTGTGAGGGTGCATCATGATGTGCAGGGCAGATGTCCGTTTCAGTAGTAGTTGCAGGATGGGTGCTCACTGAAGTTGAAGAGTTCAATGTAGATGATGATCCTGATTCACATACTGGTTGTAGGTCAAGGGTGATTACTGGCTCTTTAAGGATCACTTTAACAGTGGCCTTGTCATACAAGTCAGCAGTCGAGATGACACTGAAAAACTGGTTGTCAAAGTCTTTGTCTTGGTATAGCAGTCCAAATTCCCCATGCAACTGGAAAGTTTCAGTAATTATGGAAACAAGATCTTCCACTGTATTAGGAATTCCTGTTGGAAGTGTCAACTTTTGAATGCTGTGTTCTTCTAAAATGACTCTTAACTGGACTGCCATTGTTGTTTGGTTTGTGTTTCCTCAGCTATAGAGACAGAAAGAAAAGAAATTAAGACAGGTTATTAATAGTTGATAAGCTTACATGCATATATTTTCTTCATTATCTTCTGTCAGAGAAATAAAAGCAAAGATTTAGCTCAGTAGAATTTTGAATAAATAATTTTTGATTGTCATTTTAAGAAGAGGGAGATAAGGGTAGAAGAATAGAGGAGAGTTAAGTATGCATCACATGTTTCCATTTTCTTTTTCAATGTAATATGTATTGTTCCTGTTAAAAAAAACATTACAATAAACAAATAAAACAGGACACCTGCCCATATAGTTGTTTGTAAAATAATATTTTTTCTAATAATTTCAATAAGTGCACAAACATTTGATATAACAGAAATAATCAACCCATTACACTTACTCTGATGTGCAAATGAAGTGTTTAAGGGACACCATACGGCCATCTGCTGTATTGTATGCAGCCATGGGGTATGTTTCTTTCAGTTCAGAATGTTTAAGGATTTCTGTCTCTCCTGTGGGCTCTACTTTGAAACTCCTCAGGTGTTCACAGTACCAGCCTCTAAGCAGCTTTAGAACAAAGACAGGAGTTCTGTGCACAATGATTATTTGATGGATTTCTGCAAAGTCAGGTAGGCCTCCTGTTGAGCCAAACGGCAGCATCATGCCAATATTATAGTCTGTGCCTAAAATGGTTGCTTTATTGGTCATGTGCACAAAGTCTTCCCTTGGGAACTTCCTTGCAAAGGACTCCTTAATGCTGTCTTTTAGAACGTCGACAGCCACTTGAGTCTTCTGGGACACTGACAGTGCTGGCCTTTGGTGGTTGTAATTGTGTGTATGATATGCAATCATCGATTGGTGTTTTCTCGCCATTGTCATGAGGATGTTTCTAAAACACCCAGTCTGCCTCACAATCCTTTTAAAGAATCGATGTTTGGCTTCAAATCGCATAGTCCAGAAATGTACAAGTGGCCCGTAAACAGTTGTAAGCAAAGGATAGTGCTCGAGAAAGTGATGTTTTGGTCTCAGTTTCTCCTCTGGGAACACTTGTAAATATCTGTAACGGTGTTCTGAGATTTTACTTTGCATGTATCCTATTGTGTGATCTGTGTGGAGAGGAGCCATGACAAGCTCAACAACATCTTTCAGGGTCATCAAAACCTCCCAAGCAGGCTCATCTTCTGGTACTTTGTCGCCAATCATGAGTGGTATCATTCTCAACAAACACCAGTTTTCGTGTGCATTACCTCCTACACTTTTTCGTGCTGTGAAATTTGGGGCAATGGGTTGTGGACAGTTTGTTTTGTCACTCCATTTGTAAGGAAAGCAACGGATGGAATGGTTGAGCTGCTCAAGAGAAATGTATTTCTTCCTGATTAACACATCAAGACAGAGTGATATTTCCACAGGTACAATCCCTTCAAGCAAATCATGCAAAACATCTGGGGGATAACCTGATGCAGCATGAAAGTGACTGAGTCTGTCTGAGATTGGACACTGTCTTTTAACTCCACAGTGGTGAGCTTCTGCAGGATCAGACAGTGCTGCTTTGACATGGATGGCATAGTTAGACTTAGTCCGTAGAGGAAACAGTCCTTCTCCTACTTCATGCTCCTGGATCTGTGACCTTTCGCCAATGCAAAAGCGACAGAAATGTGAAGCTGAAAAGCTTTCAACAAACCCGCCTATTGAGTGAGCACCAAGATTGTCAGCGGCTACAGCAAGTACAGTGCCCTTGACCACTTTGCCCAGACTTGAAACAAAAATACCATTTTCTTCAAAGGACTTCAAATCTTTGAGCAGTGGGTCCAAAACTTTTTCATAGCCAAACTGGTTGACATCATTTGCTTTGCATAAAATGGTTAAGTAAATGGAAGTCAGTGTAGATCTCAATGTAGCAGGTATGTCTGCAAACACCCAATACACAGCTGTGACTTTATGCTTCTTACGGGACGTTCCCAGAGGGTTGCATATCTCAAAGTCATCTATATAAAGGATGAGTGGAAGTTTAAGTTCATCTTCACATAAAAAGCTGTTTTCTCTTAGTAAAGATCCATCATTAAATGATTTGTATTCTGAAGAGACATTAGCTGGCCTTTTGTTTTGTAATATTGTGTTTTGAATGTATCTGTTGTCCACAAGTTGAGATAATAATGGGAGGATTGGTATATACTGAAATGTTTTATTATCTGTACTATCAAGTATGTACTCAACAGGTTCAGTCAATGAGAGATGCTCCTTTCTAAATTGCTCTCTCCTGAACTGACTGCTTAAAGGCCCTTCCGCTCTTAAAGCAGCACAGACAGGGCTTAGCCGGCAAAGGTCTTTGACCAGTTCTGAAATCACTGAGTCTTCCAATGTACAGCCATGATTTCTCAGAGTGCTCTGAATTATTTCTTTAATGACGGGACCAGATGCAGATGCTGTAAGGAAATGAAGTTCCTCTATTAGTTCGTCAATGCATGAATTGGAGACGTTGTAAATGCTCTCCATTTTCAGGAGGAGTAGCCCCACTTTCTCAGTAATAATTTTGTTTAAGTCCTCATCCTCCTCAAGGACTGAGCCACATTCATTGTCATCGTCAACAATGTCACATTCTTCTTCGTCCGGGTTCTTTTGGTATTGATGAAGAACATTAGTCTTGAAATCTTCCAAGGAATGTGGGTTGTGTTTTCTACTCTTGTGGCTGTGGAATGTTGTATATTTGTTCACCTTATAATCGCAATCCTTAAAAACACATGGCACAGTTTCAAACTTTTTTAGATGGCCACCAAGATGTTCAAAAAACTGCCTCTCATTGTCAAAAGAGCATGAATTACAGACAATGCATGTGAACGAAAGGATGTTGCCTGGCTTGGATGACTGTGAATGATGCCTTGACAAATGTGTCCTTAATGCTCCCCA